AGGAATTTAGGAATAGATTTAGTTTTTCTAGTTATAATTATAAATTTACTGGTCCTAAAAACGTTTGTTCAATGAAACTCTTTTTTACGGAAAAAATGTTTTTTACAAAATTTTCGTTTTTTACTAAAATTTGTTTTTGCTATATTTTTTGTCAAAAGTTTGGATTTCGTGCAAAAATTATTTTTTTTTAGAGAACGCTTTTGTTTGCGAAAAATTACTTTTTAACCAACAAATAATAAGGAGCAATCACTAGTGTAATGCAGTGGTCGTACCGCTGAATAAATGTGCCAGAAAATAGTGATAGGTCATATATTGGGAAAGATGGAGGTGTGCAAGTTTATAGTTTGAAAGAAAGAATTAATTTGGGACAAAATACAAAAATAGATAGATGATGGTGATTCTGCAAGAAAGGTGGCGTTGTTAATGGTTGAGATGAGTCCTGTCACAAAAGGGAAAGAGCATGGGTGTGGATTGGTATAGGTGAAGATAGGGATTGCACTTTATCTTTGCTTTGGCAGGTAAAGTAAAGTAATTTACTTTACTTTACTCGATAAAGTAGAGTATATCAACTTTACTGTACCCCGGTAAAGTAAAGTTCAGGTGTTTTACCAAAAATGTAAAATCAAAAGAAATCAATAAAAAGTGATATTTCGACCATTTTTCTACTTCACTTTATTTTATTGAGTAAAGTAAAGTACTTATCCGGTAAAGTAAAGTAAAGTAAAAAAAGTTGTCGAGATGTCACTTTTTATATTAATTTCTTTTGATTTTACGTTTTTGGTAAAACATCTGAACTTTAATTTACCGGGGTACAGTAAAGTTGATATACTTTACTTTATCGAGTAAAGTAAAGAAATTTACTTTACTTTTTCAAAGTAAAATAAAGATAAAGTGCCACCCCTAGGTGAGGATGCATGCGTGCATGACAAGACTTAAGTATTCATACGCTCACCGTTTTTGAGCTCGAGGCCTACTGTGTACACGTTTTTGTCGCCCGTCGCCCGGCCCCGAGGCCGTGCTCCTAAAATTAATGATAGTGTGTATTACGTGGGGATATTGTATTTTCGTGACAGAGCTATTCTTTACCGCTAATACCGCAATACTACTAACACAGTCACATTTATGACGCACATAATATCATTTACCTATTTTTTTTTGTCACAAATTAATTTTTCTTTTAAACGATGGATTTGCGCAATTTCATATTCTCTAATATATGACTGATCAGTATTTTCTCAGTAATGTAGAAATCGTTAATTCGTACCAACTATTAAACTTTTACTTGAGTATTAAACTTCTAACATTTTATAACTCGAGTACTCGACTATTCAACTATTCAACTTCTAAATATTTATTATTCGAGTACTCGACTATTCAAATATTAAACTGCTAAAAGTTTAATATTCAACTACTCAACTATAAAACTGCACGAGGTTACGACTGTACACTCTTGAAAAATACTACGCTTTCCCCTCCACTCACACTAAGCTCTTCCACCCTCACCCTGCCGCTCACACCTTCCCCTGCACCAACAATGAGCACTTCCCCTCTCCCCCTACCGCTCACACCTTCCCCTACACCCACATTAAGCTCTTCCCCCTCCCCATACCGCTCGCACCTTCCCCTACACCCACACTGAGCTAGGGTCTGGGTGTGGGTATAGGGGAAAGCTTGGTATTTCCAAGAGGGTACATTTTTAAGCTCGAATAGTTGAATAGTCGAGTACTCGAATAATAAAATTTAATACTCGAGTAAAGTTTAATATTCGAGTCGAGTTTAATACTCGAGTAGAGTCCTCGAGTTTTACACGTATGTATTTTCTGGCACCCCCACTCACTGCTATGGCCACTGCATCAGGGTACTGATTTTTCTTATTATTTGTTAGTTAACAAATAGTTTTTAGGGATAAAAAAGTTTTCCAAGAAAAAACATGTTTTTGGTGAAAGAAAAATTTTTGCAAAAAGTCGAAGCAAAAAAACATTTTTATTAAAAAAAATTTTGGCAAAATGATTTTTTGGCAAAAAAAAAAGTTTTTGGAAAAAAAGTTTTTCGTAAAAAAAGTTTCGATGAAAAAAGTTTTTGGACAAACAAACTTATATGGGTAAGGGGTATATTTATAAATTTATAAATTTATAATTATAACTAGAAAAACTAAATCTATTCCTAAATT